CGGGCCGGAGTGACCCACCCGCCCCCCCCCCCCCCCCTCCGACAATACGAATAAAAAAACCGCCTGAGCCGATTGAAGACTGTAAGTTCACTTAAATTAATACAATAAAATCGTTATGGTGCTGCGTGAGATTATGATTAACAGTGCACTGACAGCAATAGTTGGTTATGCCAAGAGGAGTCTCTCTGTCGTCACTTGTCTCCACTTCCACGGAAAATGTATATCTGGGGAAAGTTCTTTTGACATCTGTATCTTACATTTTATTTTTTCAATGCTGCACGTTAGCGAAGAGGAATTCCTAGCGCTTACGTAATAATTCCGTTCCTCACGCACAGAAAACACACTGCGTCTACATTACAAAGCCCAGTCGGTTAGAACGGAACGGGAAATTCAGAACTTAACTTCACCCTCTGGGACACAATGCCGGGCAGTGTGGTAGTCTGGTGTAAGTTTAATGGTGCTTCGGAGAAACGCATTCTCTTCATTAATGTTGAAGCGTGTACTTACACGGCTTGCTACTTGCTCTCCTCACTCTTCCACCATGAAGATTGATGCAGATAATTTCTCCGAATCGTTGATAAACTTCTAACAGAACAAGCGGGGTAAGAACTTCAAATGTCACATACTTCAAAACATTTTATAGCACAAACCGCCCAAATGTCTTTCAGTCAGCAGTTGGTTGAGACACTATTCTACAAGCCGGAAGGTTGCGGGTTTGATTCCCGATGAGGTCATTAGATCTTTTTCAATTGACCTTATCCTTCCAGCCGCACTATGGCCCTGGGGTCGACTTACCCTCTAGCAGAAATTAGTACCAGGAATCTTCCTGGGGGTAAAGGGCGGGCGGCGCGTAGGGCTGACAAACTCACCGCCATCTGTGAACCGATTGTCTAGAAAATTTTGGAGCCTCGTCGTCTCACAACCCTACGGGCCTCGACGACCTGTTACAGGGACACCTTAACTTTTTACCAGGCTGAAAACTCTTGCGTACACAGAACAGAGAGACAAGTATTTAAAATAATACAAAGAGCTATATTCTCTTGAACAAGGTGCGCGTTACGAGGTACTTCTGCAAAGGCGACAAGTCGAGTCATTGGTACATGCTCAGATTACAAAGGAATATGACTATTGTTTCTCCAGCAAGTCTTACATAACTACAAACCTTGATTAGTGTGGGCTGATAATGAGTCTAAGTTCGTATTGTTAAAGAATGTTAACGGTTCTTTCAAAATGTTTCTTACGTGTTGTGTGGGTTTAACAACAGTGCTACTGACAGAAATTGTTACTCCGGTCCTAAATTGTATGTGTCGCGAACCGTGGGGACAGAGAGTGGTGTCACACTCACATTTCTTATGAAATGTTAGTATTGGGTAAGGAACAGTCTTAGCTGAACTGAAACCACTACCGATCACGGTAGTCCAGCGGTCTGAGGCATGTACTGTCTTCGTTCGCTCGGAAGCAGGGATCATGGGTTTGAATCCCGCTCAGGGGATGGATGTTTAGTGTTTGTATGCATTTATTCTGTTAGTGTTGTCCTGTGTTTAGGACGGGTTGATCACACTTTCCAAGGAGTCCTACCGTCTGTAAAATGATCATGAAACTGAGAAATCAGAGGCCAGGGCCAAAGGAGGCTCTAGATCCGTAGAGCCAATCATGCAGACATACTTTTAATTAGATTAGAAGTTTACAAATAATTTTAAGTTAAACACAAACGGAATCCATGAAAATTAATACCATGGAGACTGTTGTCTTGTGGGTTGTGACACCGTGTAGTCCGGTTATTACAAACACCGTCTATAATGAAGGCAGAAGGAGCAGGTCTCTTTCGAAATGTTGGTAACCACCTACCAGATTACACGGAACCAAAAGTCAGAAGATCCAGAATTACACTAATTAAACCTCAAATCATAAGCACTGCTGTCTTTCGGATTATTACACCGTGTGACTTGGTAGACATTTGCCAAAATGTCGAGGTATGGAGGAACCTCCATTTTCAGGGTAGAAGAAAACATTGAACAGGAGACTGAGTATGCCCACAGAGCAGGTAGTAAAGAAACCCCTCTTGTTTCTACTGAGAATCGAACCCAGGCAGTCGCTATACCGAATGAACTATCCCGGCTCCTATAAATTTCACCAAAAAATATAAAACTTCGTGGCCTGTAGTCCGCAAGCGAACTATACCGACTGAGTGACCGCCGCTTGTCGGCGAAGTTAGTGCCAACTTTAGCGGATAGAGTGTGTCGCGTGATCAGCGCAACGGATCCCCACGGCCGTTAATGTCGATTTTCTAGACGGCTCCCCAATTATCATCACTAGGCTGAGTGGACCCTGTTCCAGACCCACTACTTCTCAGAAAATCTGGTAGCTCCGGGAATCGAACCTGGAACCTCTGGATCTGTAGCCAGGAACTCTGACCATTAGACCACAGAGGCAGTCATAAATTTCACCAAGCATTACATTAATACAGATGTTAAATATGGATGGTTTTATACGATAGTGATTTCATACCTCATTAGCGGTCATGGGCTGAAAAGTTGTTCTTTCAAAATAATGAGACAAAAAACAGTGAACAGACATTTCAATGGACGACGTCATGTGAGGAAAGGCAGATAAAGTGTTTCACGACTTGATGACGTCCGCTTATTTCAGTGGCTAACGACATAGCTATCAAGTCATTTAGTGACGCTTATAAAGCAATGATTGGCACAATCGTTAGATGATAACGCGATTTAAGTGAACAGATGAATATTATGTATTTATCTCGGCAATTTTCGTTGTGCATTGAAAAGTACTAAAATACTTCAGAGACAATTATAGGCCTATGAAGTTAAAGAAATCTGTGCTTAATGGAACAGTCACGCCACCAAGAGGCATATAGGATTGGAGGTATGGTTCCACTCATTCACAACCTCTGCACTTGGTCAATTTCATGTGCCGGCCACTTAACCACAGAGTAAAGAACCGCAGTAACCACTGACCAGGAAGCTGGGTCGGTCGCAGTAGCGATCTGGACGTTGTGGAGAAGACAAAAAGTCTCCTGTACCTATAAGGGGAACGAGGTAGCGTAGTTCTGGCACTATGCTACAAGCCACGAGATGGCGAGTTCAATTCCCGATGAGGTCACTGGATTTTTCAATTGACCTAATCCTTCCAGCCGCACAATGGCCCTGGGGTCAACTCAGCCTCTAACAGAAATGAGTACCAGGAATCTTCCTGGGGGTAAAGGGCGGCCGGCACTTAAGGCTGACATCGCGATGTCTTTTTACTTTTTGCCTCTACGAAGAATCAAAACCCTGCTCACCAGATCGTACAGCCCGTAGCATAGTGAGTCCTAACTAGTCTATCGCGGCTCCAGAGAAAAATGTGTAGCTGCTATAACTGGGTGAGTTCGGGGACTGAAGTTACTCCTCTGCAGAATAAACTTCACGTGAATAATATTTAAAATCTCATTTCGTACCTCACAGGAAACACGCTGGGTACCGAAAGATCAGGTCGTTGATGTCCTTTAGGGAAATAATCGCTGTTCCTTCTCAAAAGAACACGTAATCCATAAATGCAATGTGTGGAGAAAATGCA